AGTTGTTTTTCCTTGGAGCTAGAAGAGACTGAGAGGGAGGCGTGTTTGTGATGGATTAAATGATGAGGGGCATCGATAGAGTAGACAAGAAGAAATGTTTCCCCTTTGGGGAAATGACTGGTGGGGGCGTATCGTTTTAAGGGAAGGGGCAGGAAGTTTAGAGGGGAAGCGAGGGAAACATTTTCACCCTAACCAGTGTTTTATACAGTTCCAGCGTTGCCTCCCAGCCCTTCAACACCATAGAATCCCTGCAGCACGGGAGCAGGCCGTTCGGCCCATCGCGTCTGCGCCGACTCTCTGAAGAGTGTCCCGCCCAGACCCACCCCCTCCTACTCTGTAACCCTGCATTTCCCCATGGCTAACCCACCACGGTGGTGGGAATCTGGGATTCAGTGCCTGGGAGTGTGTGAGGGGCAGAAACCGTTGTGACGTTGAAGAGGTATTTAGATGGGCACTCGCGATGCCAAGACTGGGCAAATGGGGACTAAGCGAGGTGAATACCAAATAAAAACTGAGAGAACTGCGAATGACCATAAGAAATAGGAGCAGGAATTAGGCCATTCAATCATGGCTGATAAGTTCCTCAACCCCCATTCTCCTGCTTTGTCCCCGTAACCCTTGATAATCTAGAACCTATCTATCTCTGTCTTAAATGTACTCAATGACCTGGCCTCCACAGCCTTCTGTGGCAGTGAATTCCATAGATTCACCGTTCTCTGGCTGAAATAGTTTCTACTTTAAATCAGGAACAAAAACAGGAGTTGCTGGAAAAGCTCAGCAGGTCCTGCAGCGTTGCGAGGAGCTAAAAATCAGAAACTGTTCCGAGGAAGGGTCAGCGGACCTGAAACGTCAACTCTGACTTTATTTTTTTCTCTCTCTCCTCTTCGCGGATTGAGTGGCTGGGAAGGCCTTTAGGAGCAGAGGCACGGTGGCTCAGCGATTAGCACTGCTGCCAGACCTGCTGGGATTAGTGAGGCGTTTGGGTTGGCTGGCGCAGGCTTGATGGGCCGAAGGGCATGTCTCGGTGGCCGTGAATTTCTGCAGTGGAATGAAACAACAGCTCAGCCACTTCCCTGCGCTCCCATCAGTCAACCAGCGTTCCATACCAACGGTTTGCCCTCCTTAGGGCAGGTCATTCAATATCACTGCCCATAGAGCCAGGGTCATGCCCGGGGGGTACGGGGAGGGGCGTTTTGAATCGCGCCAGTGAGAATTTAGTTCAATTCATTGCGACTGTGTAACTACTGTCAATCGTCATTAAATAAATAAAACCCTGTCAGCTCCACTGATGCCCCTTTGGAGGGGGAAATTAGCCGCTCTGGCCTACACGTGACTCCAGACCCACGGGTCGCCTCTTAAGCCACCCTCTGAAATGGCCCGAGCCTGACAAGGGGCAATTGGGAGCGAGCACGACGGGCAAATCCACAAAGAGTGACTCTGGGGGTCGTAAGATGCATCAGGAGTAGGCCGTTCGGCCTGTCGAGTCTGCTCCGCCCTTCAAGAGGTCACAGTTGATCTGGTAATCCTCAACTCCGTACAGTCATACAGCATGGAAACAGTCCCTTCACAGTCCAACCCGTCCAGGCCGACCCGATATCCTAAATTAATCTAGTCCCATTTGCCAGCATTTGGCCCATATCCCTCTAAACCCTTCCTATTCATCTACCCATCCAGAAGCCTTTTAAATGTTATAATTGTACCAGCCTCCACCACTTCCCCTGGCAGCTCATTCCATACACGCACCACCCTCTGCGTGAAAAAGTTGCCCCTTAGGTCCCTTTTAAATCTTTCCCTGCTCACCTTAAATTTATACCCCTCTAGTTTTGGAGGCCCATACTCTGGGGAAAAAGACCTTGTCTATTCACTCTATCCATGCCCCTCATGATTTTATAAACCTCTATAAGGTCACCCCTCAGCCTCTGACGATCCAGGGAAAATAGCCCCAGTCTAGTCAGCCTCTCCCTATAGCTCAAACCCTCCACCCAGCAACATCCTTGTAAATCTTTTCTGAACCCTTTCAAGTTTCACAACATCTTTCCCATAGCAGCGAGACCAGAATTGAATGCAGTATTCCAAAAGTGGCCTCACCAATGTCCTGTACAGCTGCAACATGACCCTCCCAACTCCTACTTTCAATGCACTGACCAACAAAGACAAGTGAACCAAACACCTTCTTCACCGCCCTGTCTACCTGCGACTCCACTTTCAAGGAACTATGCACCACTTCCTTTCTTTACCCCCCACGACCCTCAATTCCCTTCCCCGTTAAAAATTTGTCTCAAGCCTTGAAAGTATGTAACAACCCAGACTTGATGGCCAACTGCAGTAAAGAGAACCCCATTTCTCTCCCCCCCCACGCCCCCCGAATCAACGTACTCCCCTTATGCACAGCAACCACAACAGCTACCACAGTCAAATAGTTCGCTCCGACACAAATACCTGTTTGTTTCCTTTATTCATTTACGGGATGAGGTCGTCGCTGGCCAGGCCAGCATTTATTGCCCATCGGGCAGTTAAGCGTCAACCACATTGCTGTTGGTCTGGAGCCATATGTAGGCCCAGACCAGGTAAGGATGGCAGTTTCCTTCCCTAAAGGGCATTAGTGAAACAGATGCGTTTTTACAACAATCGACAATGGACTCACGGTCATCATTAGTTTGTTAATTCCAGATATTTATTGAATTCAAACTCCACCATCTGCCGTGGCGGGATTCGAACCCGGGTCTCTGGATTAACAGTCCAGCGATAATACCACTAGGCCATCGCCTCCCGTGCAACTTACGGCCAACAAAGGACACTGCAGTGCAGGAAAATGTCAGCGACCGATTCGGAAACATCAAGATCCCAAGAGGCGACAGGGAGCAGTTAAAATCCCCCAAATCCCAAGGACTTCGCTGTCCGGGGCTGAGGCCGTTTCCCACACCCCCACCCCTGGAGCTTCCACTTGGGGCCAAAGGGAAGCGCAATCGAGATGCCTACTCGCTCTGCAGTCACGACTGTGCCCCCCTCCACCCCCTAGTGGAGGTGACTGGCATTCAGGAAGCGGGAAGGGGATGGCTGGGCCAGGGCAAGTGCCAGATGTCGGGCAGTGCCCGCTGCCAAACCTTACCTCGATGGCGGGGTATGTCCTGGTGCTATCCGTGCTCTTCTCTCCGGGGATGCTCCCAGCCGAGCGCCCCTCGCACTTGTATCGGAATCGCATCCCGCGTTGTTTGGGCTGCTCCAATATCCGGATGTAGGGAGCCGCTGGAGAGGAGGGGAAGAGGTAGGGGAACGTAAACAAAAACAAATAAAATCCTTGAGCAACCCACTGTGATTGTGCAAACTTCAGAACAGGCCGTGGATCGAAAGAACCAGCAGTAACTCGGTATCGAGCAAAGGGATGAGGAATCGAAAGCGTTTAGCCACGTCTGGCTGAGACTCAAAGCCAAATGAACTGAATTGTTTTGAAGATCTGACTGCTTTATACCACAAGACAGATGATTTATTTTCCCTGGAGCGTCGGAGGCTGAGGGGTGACCTTATAGAGGTTTACAAAGTAGTGAATATGGGGCATGGATAGAGCGAATAGCCAAGGACTTTTCCCCCAGGGGTGGAGGGAGTCCAAAACTAAAGGGGCATAGGTTTAAGGTGACAGATTTAAAACGGAACTGAGGGACAGCTGTTTCACGCAGAGGGTGGTGCGTGTGTGGAGGCTGGTACAATTACAACATTTAAAAGGCATCTGGATGGGTACATGAATAGGAAGGGTTTAGAGGGCCAAATGTGGCAAGTGGGACTAGATTAATTTAGGATATCTGGTCAGCACCGTTGAGTTGGACCAAAGGGTCTGTTTCCGTGCCGTACAGGTCTATGAGTTAGTCACACGAAAGATCAGACAGTCAATGCCAAATGTGACAAGGAACAAAGAAGTTGCTTCAGATAAAAATAAAACAAAACAAGCTCAACGGTTCCAGAGAAGTAATCGATATTCTGGATGACAGAATCTTAAAGATTATCAATAATGTCACACCACAAACGTGAAAAGTTGTACGAGAGAATTCACCTCCAGGACTTCTCAGCACCAGGATCGAACACTGGACAGATTCAGAGATGGACAATAA